CAGCATATGGCTCCTGTTTTGCTCCTGCAGGAGGCAGAGTAACTGGAGGTATTTGTCTAGGGACACTTGCACTCCTGCTTCTTAATATGCAACTAAACTCTGTAGCCAACACCATCTCCATATGAAACTCTCTTTCCTTTCCTAGATTCTTCAAAGCTATGGCTCCAGGTCTGCCTGCACAAAGCTTATAGCCCCTGTCCTGGCTCAGAACCCAAATCTGCTGCCTGCCCAGCAGTCTTAGAGCCCTGAGGAAATGGGGCTTGTGTCGTGGTAAATGAGCACCTCCTCAGAGCTTCTTCTGGGTCTGATGCCTACAGAGTGTGCACCAGACAGTGAAAGTCCCTGGAGGCTAATGGAAGCCTACACAAGGGATTCACCTGATTTGTTGGCACTTGTCCAGTGAACCCCACTTGGATTTGTTATCCTTCAACTGGCCAATGCTCTACACAGTCATCCCACTTGGCCCCAGCCTCCTAGGCCTACTCTTCATGGAGGCACTGTGTTCCCAAACCCACTTCTATCAATGAGACCTGGGCTCTTAGATGCAAAGACTTGCTAAGACAGGATGGGTCCTCATGCCTAGACTCTGTTCATATCTTTAAGTGACTCCCCTCCACAGAGGTTGCTCCCATGATGAGCATTTCCAGAGGGAATGTGGTCTATCCTGAGAAGTGCTCATGGACAGGCAACCCTCCTGGCTTGGATGACTCCAGATCTGTCCCCCATTCTTCTTTTGTAGAGACATAACAAGACCCATCTCAAAACAAAAAAATGTGAAAATAGGGGTGGTGGTGACTGGTGATATAGGTTGGTGTGAAAGCCCTGGGTTCAAACCCAAGTACTAGTGGAAAATGTCAACAAATAGCCTACACATAAGGACCCACCACAATGTCCTCATTCAGAGATCAGTGGCTGCTGTCACCTGGCTTCCCAGTTCGATGATAAAAAGAATGAAGCGATGGATTCAAGCAGGAACCAGAACTAGGTATCATTTTCTGAAGCCCAACTGAGCCCTAGTACTCCTGTAAAAGGAAATCACACAGAGGGCTAGAGTGGAAAGTGAGGGCCTTTCCACTCTAACCAATCACTAAGCAAGAGAAGTCAGCGTGTGTGGTACAGCAACACAGGGAAACAGGCCATGGAGTAGTGAGGCACGGAGAGGGCTTACACTGGCCCAGCGATCAGGAGGTTTTCTGGGGAAAATTAAATTTATGTTAAGACCACTGTGTGGAAAAGGCAGTGGTGCAGAAACACAATCTAAAAGGACGCACCATGCAGAAAACTGAAGGCAGAGAAAGGCCTGGAGGTTGGAAGGAGTTGTCATTAGAATGTATGACTTTGCCAAGTCATCCCGTCCATTTTTGTTCAAATTTAATCTATACTACACATAATCATTGGAATGGCTATTAAATAACTATGGAGTGGAAGTAATAAAAATCACTTAACTCTTCTCTAGTTAAGAGACACTGAAGCTACTCCAGAGTTGCACAAGCTTTAATGTTGATGTAATAAAGCATTTTGTGATTATAGCATTTCTCAAAGTTTTTCTTACATTATCTTTGCAACAATTCTCAGAAACAAGGTTACTGCTTTATTTTGTTACGAATATAGATGGCCATATTGATTATTTGAGAAGGTTATGCCGGTTCATAATGTTGCCAGCAATGTATGAGAGTAACTGTTTTATCACAACATTGAATGTTACCATCAAAATAATTTTTTTGTCAATTCCATGCCTACAAAATGTAACCTTATGGTTGCCTTAGTTAGCATTTTTCTAGTTACTGGGGAGAGTTAACATTTTCCCATATTTTTTCCTACATATCTTAATTTTTTTCCTTATCAGAACAATGTGTTCATTGTTCATTCTTTCTCCTGTTTATCTATCAAGCCATTTTTATGAAAGAAATTAAGTCTCATAGGATCATCCCAGGAAGCTAGGAAGTAGATAAGAAGATTTCCAGAGTTACACTTTTCTAGTGAACAGGGCCCTGCAGCATGCATTTCTTTTGGATTGATTCCATAAGCACAATTTCATGGAGAAGCACAACTCCTGAGAGTAGTGAGACAGCTTAAAGAGTCACTATACCTCACAGAGAGACACAAGGTTCCCCCAAGAAGTACCCTGGGAATTGAAGAATCCCAGGGATTGTGTTAAGCAGGACAGAGGAAATTGCACCATTAATCCATTATTTTAAATAATTTAATTATGGGCTTCAGAGGGAGGAACATTGATTGTGAGTTAGGTGTTTTCTATGCCTCATTTTTATTTTTTTATTAGTATATGTTTGAATTACACAATGATTACAGTACCGTGGGCAGTTAGTACCTGTGTAGAACACAGTTTAGCTCTTTTCTACTTCCCTTAGCTTCCCTCCTCCTTCCCCTACCTCTTGATTTCCTTCGTCTTTGAGAGAGATCTATCTCCTTACTTCCTATGATCTCTTTATTTTGCTCTTTGTTTGTGTTTTGGGTTTCTCATATAAGAGAAACCATGTGCTATTGAAGATCGTCTGATTTATTCTACTTAACATTATGGTCCTCAGGTGCAGCGATTGTCATACAAATGCCTGAAGTTTATCTTTGTGGCAGTAGTGCTCCACTGTGTGTAAGTACCACGTTTCCTCTGTTCATGGACACATAGGCCGCTTCTAACACTTAGCTATTATGAGTTGTGTGATTATAAACATGGATATGCATGCATCATACCATGAATGAGGTTTCTAGAAACCTTCCCGTCCATCCTCCCCTTCTGCCCACCCAGCTCGTATCAGCTTGCACCCTAGGCCATCTTGGGAAGGGGGCCACACTCAGGGCCACCAGGCTAGACCACCTCTAGAACTCGCAGGGCCCAACTTTTTCTATCAGGAACCTCGAAGGAAGACTTCGGGGTTATATTCAGATTGGACCATTTCCAAAGAGGTCACGTGAGGTTGTGATAAAAATATGGTGAATGTTTTCATTTAAAAAAAAAATTATTACAATAAAAGACAACTTGTGAAAATACCTCCCTCGTGCTTTGAACCTATTTATCTCATCTTTCTTGCCAATTTCTAAAGCAGCTCTGGAAGTCCTCTTTTGAGAGAGCTTGTAGTTTGCTCTTTCCTGGCTATGTCAATGTCCTGAATCAATTTAAAACATCTGCCTTAGGTGGGCATTTTGAGCTTGGGGAAGAGCCAGAAATCACCTGAGGACTTCCAGGGCTGCTTTAGAAAGTGGCACGAGCAATGGGATAAGTGTTTGCAAACGAGGGGGAGGATTTTGTAAAGGGTTAATAGCAGCATGGTTTTTGCCATAATAAGTTTTTCAAAAAACATTGAGGCATTTACTACGTATTTTGGCCATGACTTTTATTTTTGGTTTGTGTGAAAGGTGTTAATTTGTTTTTTTTTTAAATTTTTTTTTTAAATTTTTAATTTTTTTTTTTTTTTTTTTTTTATATATGTGTGTGTGTGTCTGTGTGTGGCCAGCTCAGCCCACCAGGGGGCAGGGCTGGCTGGCATGTGGTGCTGGGGGATTGAACTGCGGTCCCTGTGTTTGCTAAGCTTGTTCCAAGTAGGTGCTTAAGACCACTGAGCCATCTCACCAGCCCGAAAGGTGTTAATTTGATAAATGTAAGCACTCAAAATGCCCTGCTATGGATCTAACCTCATGTGGCCATTTCTATATACCATAGCACAAGATGAAAGTGGCTGGGAACTCTCTCGACTCCTAGGAAGACGGAGCTGAAGGTGGGGAAGCAGACAGGTAAAAGATAGCTCAAATGCCTGGGAGATAAAGTTGGAGGATGAAGAGGGAGCTGAGGCTGAGCACTTGTTCTTCCCGAAGGTTAAAAGACCAGTAGCCGCGGAAACTAAAGTCTGCCATTTATCTCGGGCCAGGGACAGTGCAGACAGCTGCAACATGAGCCTCCTTACAGAACCGTGCCAATGACCTTAACCGTGACCTCTGGCCGGAGCAGCATTTCAGTGGGCCTACCAATATCCTTTTTAAACGTCAATATACACCCTTCTGACAGCTTTGTTGTGAGGTATGCTGATGAATTTGCCTACTGTCTTCAGTGAATAATGGGGGAAAAGATTTCATGTCTTCTCATTTAAACTTAACTCACAAAACAAGGGCTGCCTAGCAGGAGTAAAGTTATATATGACATTCGAAGCTGAACATGACAGAAGTCAAGCACTGCAAAAGTAGTTCGAGTTTCCTGCAGGCATGAGGCTGCTGTAAAGTCAGTTGATGACACAGCCATTTAATTAATTAAGGTAAATATAATTATTTGGATGGAGACACATGTGATTTTTAGTTCAGAACTACCTTGTTTTTTTTTTTTTAAACTTTCTTTTAGGTAGTTATATCTTATTAGAAGATACAATGTTATAAATTAAGAAAAAACAGCTATTTGCAGAAATCAGCATGGAGGTTTTAAGGCAGTGTTTCTCTGACGTGGTCTCCCCAAAAGACCAACGTGTAATAAAATGCATGAAATATATCTCTAGGCTCGCGTGCTTCCACATGCCCAGGACTGAGTCTGCTGAGAAACCCTTCATTAATCCTGTGAAGAACTATATGCTAGGACCTGGCACAACACCAATATAAAACTACTCCAAACACTTAAATTCCTTCAGTCCTGTTACAATTGTTTTCTGCTAGAAGAAATTAAATTGACTCACATTTTAGTCCATTCATTCTACTATTCTCCTTAAAAGCCTGATAGCTATTAGTCCATAAATTAGAAGTTTCATAAATGAACACACTTTGGGTTCCATATTTCCCCTTGGCTGAAGGTGGAATTCTACCTGAATGGGGTTTCCCCAAGTTTTCTAGTGCCCCAGGTGTGGTATGAGAGGGATGTGTCCTAGACAACCAGCTGCCCCCTACTTCATCTGAAACCCAGGACAGCACTACCCGAGCAGGAGGTCAGGATCACAATGGGCCTCAGGGCAGAGGACAGACAGGGCCCCAGACTGACACTATGGAAAGAGTAAGGTGTCAAGCACCAGGCTAGGGTCTGTAGTTATGTCCCTTTCTTCGTTCCTTAAATAATTCTGAGATCTGTGATGAAGAAGATGGAAAGCCCCAGAAGTAGTGACTCTTTCTGGGTCCCTATGTGAGAGTTCTATGTAGAGTCAGTAAAGTTACATATAGAAAGTAGTCAGTGGGCACTGGCAGGCACAGGATCAGGGTTTGCTCTCATTATAGTCATTACTAGGTCAGCTTCAGTGACTCTCACAGTAAAGTACCTGGCCCAAAGCTTGACAATGTAATGTTCATTTCTTCCATTTCCCTGATAAGGCCAATTCAAGGAGTTCTCAGTAAGATGCCAAATCTACCCACTGTGAAGTTGGGTATGAGTAAATTGTCAGAAGTGGGTTTGATCTCAGGTCTGTCTGAAATCAAAGCTGCAGTTATTTGCTTCTGTATCCAAGAAGGGGGTGGGGGGGGAGAGAGAGAGAGAGAGAGAGAGAGAGAGAGAGAGAGAGAGAGAGAGACAGGCTAGGGATATTGTTCAGTTCAGAGGTCCTGGGTTCGACTCCCTATATCCATCCCCATATATTATGCAGTCTACAATAGCAAAATTGGTCAATATTCAACTAAATTTTGACTCATAGAAATATCTATTTCATATGATCTGACCTAAATTATAATTTTTACTCTGTATTATGCACTATGTTGAGCATTTAAGTTTATTTAGCTTATTTAATTTTATTTCTCACTAATCTGTCAACAGCCTAGTGAGGATATTAATTCCCATGTTTTTACAGATGAAGTGGAGCTTACAGTACCAGAAGTGTAAGTTTAACTACTAAGATAAGATGTAAACCACCATCGGCAAGTTAAGTAAATATCTTGCTGGGTGTTCTGATCAAAATACCTAGCTCTGCTGTGTGTGAAAATAAAACAAACAAAAACATTATGTAAAAACATTCCTTTATAATAGGCAACTGAATGAAAAGCATTTTCCTTTTAATCATGTCTCTATCTGATAATCAATCATCCATCTATATCTTTTGAATTATTTATGAAATTATTCTTCAATAATTATTCTCATAATTAGAATTTGAGTAACTGTGATTGGTAGAATTTAAATATAAGGGTAGAAATGGCTGTCAGAAAATTCACTGCAACACAAAGAAAAAAGTAGCAGGGCACATGCCCACAATTCCAACACTCAGGGAGGCTAAGGCAGGAGGATCCTAATCTTTGAGTCTTGCCTGAGCAACTTAGTGATTTAGTGAGACTTGCCTTAAAATTACAAATAAAAAGGAGTTGGGGACGTAGCTCAGTGCGAGGTTGCTGGATTCAATTCCCAATACCCACCTCTGAAAACATAAATAAATACAATAGACATTATACCTATACCTATTCCTTAAAAAAAAAAAAAAAAGAAACAACTTTCCTTTCAAATTTCCCCAGTGGTTTTGTTTTTTGGGCTCCCATTTTACCTTTGGGGAAAATCAAAAATGAAATAGACAGCCTAGGTTTTCTTAACAAATTTTCAAAGTTTATTTTGTTTTTCAGAATTTTCCTTGTTTTTCCATGAAAATAACTTTTTTACAGGGAGCATTTACACTTAGTCTAAGGTTTTATTTTCCTACAATCCTCATTGTAATAGGCTTTTTAAAACAGTTTTATAAAAATACTTCCATAGGGAATACAAAATAATATTATGATGACATAATTCGCTTTACTTCCATGCAATTTCATATGAACACACATAAAGCAGTATTATAGCAGGTTAACTTTCTTATATGAGATTAAATTCTCATTAATATATTTTTAATGTTTTATGAAAAATATTTTAATAGAAAGAAGTATGACTTCCTCATCTATTTTACTACAATTATATTTTTTGTTATAGATCATTTTCATTAAAATATCTTCTGTTTCCTAACCCCCCAAAATTAATTCATTTTTTTCCTTTTAGAAATAATTGGGTCACATTCTGTAATTGCTATTGGAGGTATCAGGCTAGATACTATTTTGGCAAAAACAAAATCTAGGTTGGAACTGAAAATTAGAAAGAGCTAGAATATATTACTACTAGACATTATGAGAATATATCAAAATGTGGTTAGTATTGTTATTTTCTTTTCATCTTTTGTTTTTTATATTCAGGATGGGAAAGTTTTTTTCTAGGTCTCTTACTTAGCTTTTGAAAATGATTAAGTCTATAAAAAGGGCTTTCAACAGTGTGAGCCTGTATTCTTTCTGTGTCTTATGTTAAAATGTAACACTCTGGGTTATTTATGTTAACTTTCTCTACTAGTAATATGAAGTGTCATCAATGTGTTTATCTTGTCAAAATAGATTTTAATTTCCCAAGTCTCTTCAAGGTGAGGGGTACTGTGGATTGAGCTATCTTTCCAACCTCTGTTTATTTTTTATTTTGAGACAGGTTCTTGTTCAATCCCTAAATTCAGACTGGTTCCAATTTGTAATCCCTCTGCCTGCTCCTCCCAGAGTACTAGGATGGCTGATGGTCAGCAGCATTCCTGTGTTCATTTTCTATGAATTCTCTATGTGAAAGTTATGCTTTTTAATTACAAATCTCATGGACTATGAACAGGTAGCAACTGAACTTTCCAGAAATCTTATTTCCGTAATTCACAGTACTTTCACCACACAGCAATCTGTTTGAAAAGATTTTGTTATCTTGGATCCCTGAGAGCAACATACCTGAGGCCCAGCTGTGCTTTAGTCACTGTGCTTTGGAAGCTCCATTTTTAATAAATAGTACTAAAACAAGGACAGCTAGCTTGAGGTGACCAGACGGGGTAAATTTTCACCCACTCACTCGCTTGCCGCATGTGTGTCTGCCCACAAATGCACACATAGCCCCTGTGCGTGCCCGCAAATGGAGGGATTTAAGGCCCCTCATTTGAGCTAAGATCAGTAGTTCATCGCCAATTATTGTTCATGACCTCAGTCATTAAAATCTGCAAAGAACAAGATGGTGCGTAGGATTTTCTAGAAACTACTTCCTGTGAAATCTTTCATATTAAGAATCAAAGAAAAGTCATAGAAAATCTTTTGTGTGTGTGGTGATTTAAGTAATCCCTTGACACACAGGGAAGCTCTAAATATTGGTTCTATGCCTGACTTTACATTGGTCCTTTTTTTTAGAATTTAGTACAGGGTCTTCAGGGTCTCACTACACAGACTGGACTTTAGTGATCTTTCCTGCTTTTCAGCCTCTCAAACTCTGGGATTACAGACTTACGCCACCATGCCCAGTCTCCTTTGCCATCTCAGTGTGCCCCGGGGTGGAGCCAGCACAACACACTGGAGATCAAACCCCCGGCCCCTGCATCTGCCTAAGCAGGCGTTTTAATCCGCTGAGCTATCAGGCCGGCCCTGAGTATCTATTGATAACCATTTCTGTCTTTGCAAACAACCTAGCAGAGGTGTGAGATTGACGCTTTTCTGAATGAGCCTGCTTGGGAGATAATATCTGTCTCCTACACTGTTGAATTTAAAAGAAATGGAGGAGATCTTTTAAAAGGAATCAGAAGACATGGAATTTTGAGTTTATCTGGTTTAGTTTATTCAATATTATTGTAGAATATCAAGGTAGCCAGTTAGTGGATGTAAGTGTCTTTGAATTATATACAATTTAAATAAACATTGGCCTGATGACAGTTTTTCTGTAACATTTCTTCCTTCGTTTGGAATTTATTTTGCTTCATTTTAGTTGCTCCATGAAAAATGTTAGCTTTTGGATTAGTCCCTCAAGGAGTCTGGACTGGTCGCTTGTGGCAGGATGAAGAGTCCAGCCTAGGCTTCCTTTGCACTTCTACTGTTGCTACCCCACACTTTGTCCTCTGTGACAGGTCTCCAATTTGCAGTACTGTGGCAATAACCTCTCCTGGTTCCTGCCTACTCTCTTTCCACATCATCCTTTACAGCTGTCTACCTGAGCTCTCCTGCACTCAGCTGTGCCTTGCGTCTGCACTAGGGGACACGTCAGACATTTACTGTTATCTGTGGGGTGCGTTCTAGCTCCCTCAGCCTGGCATCGAGCCCTTCGGGGTGTGATTCAGGCTGAGTCCTACTGCCCACCCCAGCTGCCCCAGAAGCCCTGGGTTCAGCTCAGCCAGCTGTTATCAAGGGTTGAGTGCTCCCCACCTTCTCTTTGCCTTTGCGGCTTCCTCCTGCACCCCCCGCCCCCACCGTATCTTCCCAATAAAATCAGTGGACACTTTATTTGGGAAAAAGTTTCTGATCATCCAAATCAGAAGACATTTACTTTTCATCCTTTACAGTGTTTGCACCTTTCTGGGGGCTCTTGATAAGAAAGGAGCCCACTGTAAGTTTGCCATGGCTTGGATGTAGTTTGAGTCATCTTCCAAGCTTCAGGAGTTGAAATCTGACCCCCACTGAGACGTTAAAAGAGAGTAAAAACTCGTCCAGCTATGACATTTAGAGGTAAGGCCTTTGAGAAGCAGCTAGGGTTGATTCAGGCCATTAGGGTGAAGCCCCCAACAGATTCATGCTGTGCCCTTATGGGAAGAGAAAGACCAGACAGGTGTGCAGACACATTCCCGCTCCCTGTCTCCTGTCATCTGATGTCCTGTGCTGCTTCCGCAGATGTGACCCCTCAGCTTGGACCTCAGAACCATAGACCAAAATAAACTTCCTTTCTTTAAGGGTAGCCTGCCTCAGGTATTTTGTTTGTTTATTTATATATTTATTTTTAAGCATTTATTTATTTATATATTGGGTATAGGGTCTCACTACACAGCTCAGGCTTGTCGTGATCCTCCTGCCTCAGCCTCCTGGGTGCTGGGATTATTGGCATGGACCACCATACTCACTATCAAGTCCTTTTATGCAAACATTTTTTTTCCTACTTTCTAAAGGCACTAACCTAATTTCACACTGAAATTCTTATGCACCTGGCCTTGCTCCTGGCCTCAGCCTCCCTCTGGTCCTGGTTCCCTGGACTCTGCATCCCCAGATACCTCACCTGCTGGTAGACTTGGCCCGGCCAATGTCCAGCATCCCACTGACCAGGAAGAGAGATTCACAACCCCTCCTCCACAGAGTAGCCATAAAATGCTTAAAATTCATTTTTCAAACTAATGTTTCTTGAACACTTACTGAATTCCGATAGATGCCAGAGAAGATTTGATAAGGTTTTGATTCTCAAGGAGCTTAATTCTTGAAAGTAAGATATTTTCATCATCACTTTTTTTTTTTTTTTTAACTATACCAAAATAACTGGGATGGGGAGATAGCTTGTTGCTCTAAGTGCCTGCCTAGCAAGTGCAAGGACCCGAGTTGGATCTCCAGTACAGCATGCCGTGCCAGCCTGGGCTACATAGGGGGGCTTAAGGCCAGCCTAGACTGCATAGTGAGGCCCATCTCCAAAAACAAAGCAAAACCAAATCAAACAGACTGAATGAGGAAAAGAGAAGCAGGCAGGCAGATGAGAGGGGCTCTGTGGAGGCAGCCATGTCGGCAGTGTCCCTTCCTGCCCTGCCCTTGAACTGTATAGTCAGCTCACATGTCTGGTTTCACTCAGTGCAGTGTCCCTTATCCACAGCCACTCTGCTGCAGACACCACATTAATGCTGTCCCTTTGATCATGACATAGTAATGATAGTCATGCCAACATCTGCTGAGAATTTTCTAGGGCCAAGTGCTGAACTATGCTTAAACATATCAGCTCATCTAATCTTCAAAACGAAACTGTGCAGCAGCACTATGATTATATCCTTATTTTGATTTTAGGTAGTGGAGTGTCAAAGAAGTTGTTCAAGTTCCAGCTGAAGGCTCCCCTTTGGCTGGGGCGGGCTTGGGCGGGGCTCTCTCTCTCCTCCCCAGGGCCGTGGGCTGGGAGCCCTGTGCTCCAGGTCTGCTTCCTCCTGTTGGCTCTGCCTCATGCACTTTCCACAGGCCAAAGAGGCTGCAAGAACGTTCAGATCTGGGTGCGGATAGATACTTATGGTCCCTCGGAAAATTCTCTCCTAGGAAATAAATTACAACCACAGCCTGACCTCACTGAGGTGGTCATTTGCTGACTGCTCTGTGGGCATGTGGGTTGGCCTGAAGTGAATTCAGTTTTCACAGAGTGAGAATTAGTCATGACTTGTGGGCTAGTTCCAAGCTGGGTGCAGGGCTCAGCCCACCTGCCCCACCTCTGCCCTG